GACACTTCCTCACCTCGTTACAGGAATTAGGGGCATTCCCTTATCAGTTTTCTTGTTTCTCTGTATTCTGCTCTGTGATTGTTACTAATGAAACAAAAGGTGAGCCTCACCCCTTCCCTTGCTCATGCACATTAATTTAAATGCAATTCCACACGCAAAGATCAAAATTAATTATAACATCTGTAGAAGGCAACAAGGAAAACTGAAATGCATGAGGCAAGTTTTTCTTTCCTTTTTTCCCCCTAATTATTTGAATATGCATAAAAGTATTGTTCTCATGCTTGCTTGCTTTCAGTGTCTGATGCTTTTTGCTTGTCTAAATTTTCAGTTAGTCTCAGTGTCAAGCTGTTTGAAATGGAAAATTGAAAGCTTAATCTGCTAGTGACAGAAATCAACCTCTAAATGACAAATAATATTCTGTTTGCTACTAACAACAATTGATCTTCATTACTACAAACTATGCTGACTCTTAAGAAATTTGTCTCTTATTACCTGATCGGAATATAGCTAAAGTCTGAGGACTTTTTTAGGAAAAAGAAATGCACAGGGTGGCATACTGTTGGTATAGCTAAGGTCTGCAGGCATCACTTTGGCCTGCCAGCCTGATCAAACCACTCCTCATCCAACTTTCATCGTCTTAAAAGAGTTGTTATTTTTGTTGTCATAGCAGTTAGGAGTCAAGCTGCCTTTGGGAAACACCTGACCAAAGATCTTGACTGGAAAGCTTACAAATGAAACAAATCATAGAATCATAGAATCTCTCAGTTTGGAAATTACCTTAAAGATCAAGTCCAACCGCAACCTAACCATACAACCCTAACTCTAACAACCCTCTGTTAAATCACGTCCCTAAGCACCACAGAGGAAATGGAAGCTGAAAAAGAAAAGGGATTTATCCCTGGGTATGGAGCTATTAAAACCTGCTGAGATTTTACTGAATGGGACATGCTGGGTCTGCTCTTTCCACAGACTTCTCACAAAAACACAGATCTTGTTCAAGATCTTGCTCCCTCTCAGGGCGTTCTGATACAGCACATCAAAGGTCCAGCTACAACAAAAAACACAGCCTTGTCAAAGACTCTGGATCCAGCAGGTGCCTTTGGAGGGCCAGCCCCATGCTGTCAGGACCTTGCAAGGGGTGGAAACAGCATCTTTTTTCCCCACCTGGCTCCACTAGCCCAGTTCTGTGCCAGTACAGTGCTGAGCAGCTGTCAGTGAAAGTAAGCACAGTAATACCTTCGGATACTTACTTTCTGTGTCTTGTAGCCCAGTTCAGTTTTACTGTGCTTTCTTAGGTGTGCCTTGCTTACTGCCTTCATGCCCAAGAATCACTCACATGCAATGCTAGCACAACAAATCCCACAGCCTTTTCTTCCAAAGCAAAGCAGAAAACAACAGCTTCAAGTCATTTCAGCATTCAGCCTCCTGCTGTCAGTTCTGTGAAGCAAGGGCAGGCAAACCTCAGTCCAGCAAGGCTGCAACTGTCAATACAGTGATAACTGTCTGTTCCTGAGAGTGCTCAAGCACATCTGCTCCAACCCAGAGAAAGAACATTTGCGACCAGCGCTGTTTAAGGTCACGGACATAGAATGACTATATTTGTTCGGCATTTACTTGTCAAAGAAAGACCTCAGTAAGTTAGTTTTCAGATAAACTATGTGTCTCTATATTTGCCTCCAAATATTGCATACAAAAATACCTTCTCCTCCATAGCAGTATGTAAGCATTTCTAAGCAACCTCTTATTCCTGCAAGACATATCAAAATGACAGTCTGGTTAAGGTGATGAGCATATTTCAGGCACGCTCAGTTCATACAGGTTAGGGCTGTTTCATTCCTCAGCTAATGCCTGACTTTGGTGACTATGTAAGGGCTATTGGTGCTGCAGTGTTCCCCAGAATTTCCCATACTTCTGCAAATTTAAGCAACACACTGCTGCTGATTGATTACAGTAATTTTGTTGTTCACATCATCCTATTCATATCACAGCAGGTATTGCTTGTAATTATTAACCCTATTTGTTATAACAGATGCATGGGTAGCGAAAAACAGTGAGAAGCAAATAATTTAACTGATAATAAAATAAGCTGTTCACGGCAATATGCTAATTATCTCTAAACTATGTCCGTCAGCTTCTGTTAGCATTTCTTAGACTCCTCATTCCCCAGAGGAACAGCTTTTGCAGGGTTGAGTCCTAAAGAACACACTTAATTTCCCAGTAGGAGAGATCCTCATTGTGTATTTTTCCAACCTTCGCTCTCTTCGCAACTTCATAAATAGTCTGTGATAAATAGGCATTTAATCATGGAATTAACTATAGAACAGGCAATGAACTGAAGCAGTGGCAACTGGGTATGATATGGAAGCTGTCATTTTAGTAAGTGTTCGGATGGTTGTTCAGTAGCACATCTTTTTATCTCCAGTGTTAGCGGGTGGTTACATTCAATGGATTTGTTCAAACTAAAGGTGGCCATCAGCTTCCACATATCCTTCCTTCTAATGTGTCAGCTGACATATGTTTAAATTTAAGTTTTAAATACTGGCAGGTATTGTCTCAAATCAAGCAGTTTTCTCTGCGTTCATTTTTAAAAACAGAACGTAAAAAGCAAACTCAGTGTTTACTTTCTTTACCTCACTGTCACTTTCCAAGAAAATATCTTCTGCTCTTGTAGTGGAAAAATTAAAATGTGTCGAGGTAATAGCATTAAAAGATTTTTACTTTTTCAGAACAAATATTTGGCTTTTTCTGTTTTGGACTAAAACATTCCACAAAGCCAGAATGGATTCATGACAGAGAAGTCAGAATAAGGTAAATGGATTAACAGTCACTTTGAATTACTTACATTTCCAGAATAAGGGTAGCATGTACACATAGAAGGAACGCTGCCTGCATCCTAACAGTGAAAAAAATAATAATCAAGTGGTTTATGAATATTCTTTCCAATAAGGAATGGGGAAAGCCTTCGAGTGCTCATGTGTGTATATCCAGGGATGATGGTTTTAAAGACAGAAACACATATTCTGAATCCTTAAGAATAAGTCGAGAGAACAGAAAGAATCAAATAGGAATGGAAAACCAGGAAGCTATTTCAATAGCTATTTAAGCACTCTGCAAGGAATGGAATGATAGTTATTCTGCAGAAATACTAGAAATCTAGAAAGGACAGTGGAGAAACCACAATACTAGCTAAGTGTAGAAGGATTTAATATTGGCTAATCAGACCCATGGTTTGAACTGTAATGGTCCTTCTTATGTTCTGGTCAGCCTGCCTTTTTTTGAAAGTCAAAAACAGCTTGGAATATACAAGCGGGCTGCAAACTAAATTGCTATTACAGCTTTCATCCCAGCATGATATGCTGAGCCAAAATCATGAACTCTGCATACAGGAACAGAGCAGCTCTGCTGATCCCAAGGAACACACAGGGAACATGACCTCTTGAGGATGCCCAGCTGTTATGTACTCTCACTGTAGTAGTGAGTAGATAGTAAGTCACAACTATTCTTATACTCAGTAGGAGTTGCAAGATAAACTTCAGTCACCTATGTGCTTGGATTGCCATTAATCTCTACATAAGGCACCAAGGGAAAGTATTCAGAGTGCTCCATGCCAGACTGATGGGGCCCTGGGCAGCCTGATCCCCCCACAGTAGCAGGCTGGAAATGGGGGTCCCATCCAAACCAAGCCATTCTGTGATTCTACCAAAGTTTTAATAAGAATAAAATAGGAAGTACTACACTACTAAAAGTAAATTCCCTGGAAAAAAAAGAAACCTTCCAGCTCCTGGAAGCAAGAGGATTTTTGCCAGATGTGGAAACTCAGAGAGGCTGTCAAGCATTGCACAGCTGCAGCTATGTCTTCGTCTTTAATGAATGCTTAGTTACTCTGTCTGGAGTACAGGCACTTATGAACTCCTGCTGATGGTAGGTGAAGCTAATCTATCAGCTCCTGCTGGCTCCAGGTATTGGAGGGAGCCATCAAGCCCCTGTTCTGACAGGCAGTAGCAAGAATTAATTGGTGTGCTGATTAGACACCTAATTTAGCCACTTCTGACACTGAATTTAGCTTAATCACTATTAATTCCAGTTCTTCCAGCAAAATACACATGGCATTCCATGGATGCCCCAGAAATCTGAGACACAGCAGTATGATAACACAGCACTTCAGACATGCTGCAGCAAAAGCACTCTCCCATCTGACTTGATCTTTGAGTATGTTCAAAAATAACAGTGCACTTGGGCTAAACCACTAGAAATGTGGGATGACATACTTAAACACAACCTTTGTTTGCCCTTGTGCAGATTATAGGTCATACCTAAAAGCATGTTCTCACAGGATTAGGTAAATTGTCTTTTATTGAAACATACTGTAGTATGAATTGGGGGGTGCTGAGGGGAAGATTCCAGTTTAACAAAAGTACACTGCCTTTCAGGATCCCAAATAACTATTGATATCTGCTATCCTGCAGCAAATAATATCTTCCTTGACAAGTCAGACCGCTGCTCTTTCTCTATCTTTCTTCTGTTATCTTTAATAGCCATGGTTTGTTTTGCATTTTTGAAAAAAAAATTTTGTGCCTTGATGATGTGTCTCACCTCCTGCTATTAGTGCTGGTTACAGTTTAGTCTAATACCTGCTCTTGTGTACAAAACTTAGCTCAAGTGCTTTTGAAATGAGAGCGTGCTGGATATGCTCATCTGGTCCAGGCTACTCCACAGTGGTGCATGCACACTGCATTTTTCATGTGCAAACAGAGGATTGGCCTATCCAGCACTTGACAGGGGAAAACAGATTTCTGCTCAAACTATACGTATGTATTGTGCTGTCATGGTTGACATGTGCATTTCTCTTAGCTCTCTTGTGCTCTCCTTATATAGTTAATACCCAAAGAAGATTTTTTTAACCTCTTATTTGTAGCCATCTGCTAAAAAGTATACTAGCAAGGAGTGAAAATTAAATCACACACCATGAAAGTAAGAGCCATGCTTTGTGATTTGAACAGGTCCCCAGTGGTACCCTTCCCGTGTTGGCCTGCAACTGGAACGCAGTAAGTATTCACACATGTTAAAGATGCCTAACATATTACTAAGCCTTTGGCAAATTTGCCCAAGAACTTGCATTCATCATGATGATAGTGCCACCTCTTATAAAATACCCTAAAAAGACGAATGCTCAGACAAAAACTATCAAAAGTCATCAGTGACCAAGAGGCTGTGTAGCATTGACTTTCCCATTAGTCTTGCAAGACAGAATTAAAAGTAATCTATGAAACTGTGTCTCTCTAATGGTCTAGATAGCATCAAAACAATTCCTGCGCATTGCCACCCGCGTCATGTCAGCCTCATTCTTTTGTTAAAAAGACGGAAGAGAAGCTCTCATAGAAATATTATAAGCTGCTAACCAGGAAAATAAGCACCAAGTCACCAAAATAAAATGGAAAACAAGCTGTGCCTTTTACATTTGAGGCATAGTCAGAGTGCAGCACAAAGAAAAGGGTTCAACTATTTGACCATTAGCAGGGCAACCTATGCATTATGCTAAGCCACTGAACAGATGTGTGCTGTTTGTGCCATTTTCTCTTCCCTTTCTGTCATTCCAGATGGGCCCTATTTGAAGGATTCTGTTAACATTCAAAGCCTTGCAGCGTCCTCCATCATTACACTGTACTTTACAGACCTGGGTCAGCAGGTCGGTTGGACCACAGTAAGTATGTCCTTGTAAAAATCAGCATGACACATCTTAATGTACAATGTCTTGCAGAATCAAATTGCTCCAGCTTCCTCAGACTTTCCTTCCCTACATCAAATAGTGTAATTACCACAGTCTGAATAGAATTAAATTGATATTAAACCAAATTATCAACATGCTAACTGTAACATTCAATTAGAGATTAGAAAGTGGACATACCAATATTGCCCAAGGGAGAAAGAAATCAATTAAAAAAAAAAAAACAAAACATTTTTAGCTTATCTAGGTTTTATATGCCTGTGTAGGACCTGTTGCCAAATACATTCATTTGCTTCAAGGCTCCTGTGGAGGTTATTAAAAAACAAAATACGGATTTCTGGTAATCCTCTTACTAAAGCAGGAGAATTATTGCATGGGACCATCTTATTCTTTGCTTACTCAAAGAACGGTTATGAGAGTAGCAAGTCCAAGGATCTCAGGCAGAACATGCTCAGTAGTGTTACGACTTTAAGTGGTTTGCAGATGATAGCTCCTTTTTCCTCTTACTATGGTTTAATAAGCATTACTGCAAGTCACTTACAAGAAATGGACATGCTCCTTATCAGTTAATGCTTAAGGTGGATGCCACTGCTAGAACAGCTCCTGACTTTTGAGAAGAGCGAGCTTCTGAATCAGCGCTGTGATATCACATATCTGTCTGTCCTGCTGAAGGTCACACATTTCTCACTCACCAGGTTAGCACATTGCTCCCAGTGCTGCAATCTCTGAGGTTTTCACCCCCAAGAATAAGAACATGACTGCATTTATCTTTCCCAGCTTGAAGAGAGGACTGAAATCCCCAAGTGGTGACAATCAGTTTATGAAGTGGAATTGGAGTAGATTATACTCTGAGACCTCTACTCATTTTTAGTAGAGATATGTGCGTTTACCAAGGCTGAGGCTTCGTCCCACTGATTTCCATGGGCCATACTGATTAATGCTAGCTGAGATTCTGTATCCCCCTAAACCATCCCACTTCTGCTATAGCCTTTTAAAGTACTCCTCGTGGAAAAACAACTACGCAATTTCCTTGCAGAGCAAGAAGTGTGAGTACTGTGGTCTCTCTACTCTACTCTACTAGTAGTGAGTAGTGCGAGTAGTGAGACTGAGAAATCTGCACAAACCTTATTTATTCTCTCCTTTCCTGATGGTTTATGTAGCAGTAGACTGTAACATAACTACAGCTTAATAGTGCATTATAAATAGAGCAGTTATGACTACGCACTGATACTGCAGGCAGTGGCATTTTTTTTAATGATTTGATCTGCGTGTGCAAAAAGTGGACTGGGGCTTTTTGAATACTCATCTTACTCTGTTCTGTTCTGCATTTTAAATTGTGTTCATTCATCAGGAGATATCTTCTTCCTAGCCACGTCATTTAGTTCAAATAGCAGAGAGATTTTATATTATAGGTAGTTTACAGCAATGGAGAAAGAGTTCATAAAAGACTGTATTTTAAAAGTAGCAATTAAGAATGTATTTGTACACAGGATGTAGAGTTTTACTGCTATTATTACTACGCTCAGAGCTCCCATTCAAACCCCCTTGCTGTTCCATCAGATTTATGCACACAGGGACAGGTTTGATTTAAAAGGCTGACATTTAAATAAACAAGGCATAGAATAAAAATACTTCTTCCTCATCAGCAAAAGGATAGCTGAAGTACAAAGGGCCACATTCAGGTCCACAGTTTAAAAATAGACACAGAAACACACAGAGATGTGCTGCTGCTCCAAGGGACAGTGCCTCAGGCATGGATCTGGCTATGGGGAAACTAAGCACAGTGATGGATCTTCTGGGGCTTCTCATCTCGCTGGGGATCACACATGGAGTGATCGCTTGAGAATCAAGAACACCAAGTCCCTAAGTCATATAATCAGGGAATGGTTGGGTTGGAAGGGACCTCAAAGATCATCTGTTTTCAACTGCTGTGCTATTGACAGGGCTGCCCCCCACCAGCTCAGGCTGCCCAGGGCCCCATCCAATCCAGCCTCAAACACCGCTAAGGATGGAGGATCCATAATCTCTCCGGGCAGCCTGTGCCAGAGCCTCAGCACTCCCTCAATTAAAAAACTCCCCCTGACGTGCTTTCTTGTTTGTAAGACAAACATTAGCTGAAGCACACAGTTCTCTTCTGTACGTTATCAATTCCCTTATTCCACGTGTCGGGCATACCTGAGATATGCTATCTGATGCTGCAGAGACACAAATGAGAACTGAGCTCACAGAACTCTTCTGTATGTCTCCTGCAGAGACTGTACTCCCACATGTGCTAGAAATTCCCACCACTGGAGTAATGGGCTTTTGTTTTTAATCTGTCCTATTTGGGGTCTAAGCATGTTTGACAGAGACCTCTTTTTCTATATTGCAATGCAGCGTCTGTGTACAGTAAACAAATGCACACTTGGAAAGAGTATCATAGTGAGATGGAAAAGGAACAAACAGAAGGCATGCTCACCTGCATTCAAAGATTTAGGCTTATGATGAAAAGCTCCACAAAGAAGGAATCTCCAGAAAAAACCTTTCCCTAGTGGCAGTCAGCCCTTAAATGGGATCTAGGAGGAGTGGAGACAGGTTCTACCCCTTCTGGTCACACAGCTGAATTACCTTCACCAGTGCTCCCACGGCTGACCCAGTCCTTGCCTCAGGTGATCAAACAGTGGTTCAGGCCATGACTTGACAGTTCCCATACAATGTGACTTCTGGAAACATTATTGACATTTTACTGCTAGAAATGCATGCTACTGCCTTTGTCAAAAGGGAAAAAAAAGCCATTCTTCCTGCTGAAACTAAGGCTCGTGCTAAAGCTTTCCTTATTTGAGCAGCAATTGCAGTTTCTGATTTATCAGCTTCTGTTTTTCAGTTGCTGCCTGGGCAGGCTACCAGAAGGATTGAAATAGAACTGAGAAAACAGTACAGAACTGTGAAAAATATATTTTACCTCCAAGTCTGTGAATTTTGTAAGAAAGATTAACCCTGAAACACAGTACTTCAGTAAATATTTTTTGCAACTGAGTTAAAATTAAGGATTGCTTAAATACTTTGACTCCTGGGAGCCTTAAAATACTGAGGCTGGCAGCAGAACTGCTCCATTTGCTTAGACTGTAGCTCAGTTTGTACATATTTTTCCTCTATGTTTGCACAGCACCCTTCTTGTGTACATACTATAAACCCTCCTTATATGATTGATTCCATACAGCTCTGTGGTGCACACAAATAATCAAGAAAAAAAAATCATTCTGAGTTACTACTTCAATAAACTTCTGTTTGTGTAAACCATAATGATGTTATGATGGTTGGACTCAATGACTTTAGTGGTCTTCTACAACTGTAATGATTCTATGATAAAGCTGGCTGAAAAAAAAAGGAACCGTATTTAGGAGGTTTAGGATTATATATACATAAATATGTACATAAATAATAAATTATATATATATATATTTTTTTCCTGGAATAATTCCAATAATTTTTTCAGTGAAAAAAGAATCTCAACTTGGAAATGTAGAAACTAACACCTAAGCCTGAGAGGTCTGGGGAAATTGGAGGAGTGGGAGGTCTGGGACTCCCAGCAAACATGTGGATCAGTGGAAAGAAGATAAATGAAAGAAAACTTGAAAGATCATTGCTTAGGAAAGAATCTGAGCTCAAGTTAGGAGAATCAGCTGAGGCTGTACAGGATGTATAGATGGAGAACGTATTTCTCACCAGACATTTAATAGACCTTGCATATCTTGTGGCCAGTTCAAATACAACTGTGGGACAGGATCCTCCCACCTGAGTAACCCTTCCATGGAACTGTGAGTGCCAAAGAAACAGAACAAGTGGGTCCATGCAAATCTGTTGGCAGCTTTAGAATGGCTACAACACAGATTGCCAAAGAGAAAGAACTTCCCAAACCTTTTCTGATTGCTTAACCTCTTGGATCAATAGAGAATTTAATCATAGAAAATCTTCAGGAAAAAAAAAAGTCACTATTTCCTCTACAGCTATGTTTCCTACCATAATTGTTTGTAATACAAATACGGTACAGCTAGCAGTGTGTGCCTGGCTTGAACACAAGATGCTGTGCACAGTGAGCATTGCTCTACCTTGGTACAGCTGGCCAAGTCTTGAGCTGTTTGGAGTCAAATTCTGGAAACTTGCACAACACTGTAACTTTTCACGAAGGCAAACTGCCCACACAAGATTGTTTTTATTTTTCATTTAATTAAGTCTAATAGCTTTTAACCTGCAGGGTTATCGAGAGAGAACAGCTTGCATTTGCATTTCTTGCCTTTTATTATGTATTTTCTTTGTACTTTTCCTTGGGCCATATATATTTGTGGCTTTATGTTACTGCCCATTGGCAGCATGAAATGAACTGATAAGGGAAAAGGAAACCTTAGCTGAGATGGTGCAACTGGTCGATTGGGATTGCTCAGATGCTGTTTCTAATAAGGCAAACAGTACTGCAATTCTGTCTCCTGGTCTGGGCAACAAATGCCACCAGCTTGTGAAGAACCATGCCAGGACATCCGTTCTTCAGCCACCAAAGGGAGTTGAAAGCTACCAGGAAAACTAATTGTAAGAGAGGCGAATGCTTTAGTTGAGCAAAGCATAGGCTGCATAACCCATGGTTAGGTGTTTATACTAATACCCTTGAGTTTGTACTGCTTAAAGTGCAAAGAGAAGGTAGAGGGAATTCGTTAAACATAAAAAGAGCAAGCTCGTGTTTTTTTTTGCAGTTATACACAGCTTGATGCTTACACCAATTCTGCTGCTAAAGCAGCCAAGCACGACTCTGTGTCTAAGTGTAGTCCCTGTCCTGTGTGTAATCAGAGAAACAAGGGACATCTGCAATTTGTCAGTCTTTATGCAAAATTGTGAAAAGCTTTAGTCCCTCTAAAATGTGCTAAGTCTGTTAAAGTTGTTTTGTATGGAGAAGTTTTGTCCTGCACTGTGGGTAGGGTGAGCACAAAGAGGAGTGACCCATGGTTTGGGAGGGTGAGGTTCTTTGCCCACCTTGTGTGATGACTTGCCTGAATTTCTCTGTATCTCACATTCCATCTCCGTGCCAAGAAAATAACAGTATTTCCCTCTTTTACAAAGCACTTTGAGGCTTCTGGATGAAAAGAGCTGTGGAAGAGCTAGTTGAAGTTATTAGTAACAGCAAGGTGTTTAAAAGCACCATTTCATTCAGATGTCTACATAGCAGATGATGAATACAAATTTTAGGGCAGATTTTAGCGCAGACTGCTCAGACTTGGGAGAAAAGATGGGAGGAAGCAGTGATTTCCTCAGCCTTTTCCCTCAGAGGAAGCACAGGCTCAGGTAGCAGAGCCATCTATCACTGTTTATTCTCCAGCTCCCGAGTCAGGTGCAATTTGCTTATAAAACCCTACAAATCCATTCCTATTCTCTGGTATTTGCAATAAATATTGCAGTGCAGCCTTAAATACTAAGTCACTGTGAAATCTGCCCAGACGAGGGAAGCTTTAGGTGTCTCTGTGTGCACTGTTCAAGTTTTGTAGAATGGATCAGCCCTTCCATGAAAACTGGACCAAAAAATCACTGAATACTGAAGATGCCTTTAAGGATTTTACTACCTGATTTTACTACTGCTGAGGATTTTTGCAGATGTGAAAATACAACAAATTTTAAAAGGCAAAGATTTAAAGATGAAGTTAAAATGATGCCATTATCATCCCCAGGTAACTATATGACCTTTAATGAGATACCACAGCATGCAAAGTAGAAATAATGAAGTTTCTTAATGATTATTAGCTCAAGAATACATAATGCTGAAATTGTACGAGTCTAAGGGAGTTAGATGCTAAGTTTAATGTGATTTGGGAACTTGGGGATTTTGGACTGCCTGGTTCTCTCTGGTTTCTCAGAAATCCCAGCTGCCTTCTGTACACATGCACAAAGCAGCAGTCTGTGTAGTACCAGCAGATCTTCCTCCTTATGCACACATAACGTCTCAGTCTGACCCAGGCTCAAACCTGTGACCAATGCCTTTGTCTCACACCTATTGAGAAACTAGGCTCCATCTGTTTGATAATTTATGTCCTGCAGCTGTTTTTCCATCCAAGTTGCCCAGGACATGCTTAAGCTTTTTCATCTACCTCTTGCTGTGCTGAGAGCTTCATGCAGTGGCCCAGAGTCCTTGTCATGCTTCAGGGATTGCCCTCACACCGCAGACATTACTTCCTCTGCTTGAAACAAGCTGCCATGTTGGCAGGGGACAAGAAACTATCACCACCAGCACCAATAAACTGGGAAACTGCCCCCACATGATATGGAGCAAATTATGGGAATGGAACAGCATGGCAAAGGTTGTATGGCCTTTTCTCAGATCCACTCTGCAGCTTGTCATACATGAGATAATGTAAGACTATGCCAAAAGGCAACATGATACAAGCTTGGGTACATTGTGCAGGATTACAGAAAGGGCAAGTCATAAACATTACAGAAAGGAATTAGCTGATGCCTTCATCTGAACATTGCTAATCCATGGGCTGTTTGTTTGTAAAGGCTCTCCTGCACATTATTCAGGCTTTTTCCACTCCATTCCCTCTATTTATAGTTTCCGTTTGTTCTTTCCTGCCTTTTCCCAAACCGTACACAATATGCCATTAACTCACATCAGAAATCCTTCCACCTCCTGCAGTCATCCTGTTGGGACAGTATCAGGCATTATGCCAGCTGTGCCCACCAGCCAGGAAATTCAACTCTCATTCCCTCTGCACTACAAAGAACAAAACCCTTTAAACAACTCCTTTTACCTCTACCGTATTCATCTCTCCCTCCATGTACCCTCTGCCTCATAAAGTGTGGGATTATAACTCCTGACCTGGTCGTTACTTAGTTTAGCAAGGTATTGGGCACGATAACCTGGACAAAAGATTAAAAAAGAGATGGGCTTTTGGAAACTCTAGGGAAGGAGGTACCATTCTGCTCAGGCAGAATGATATCCATCACTGTTTGGCAATTATTTTCCCAATTATTTTTCCCATCATCTCTTCAGTGATGGAAATGGAGACGAGCAGATTGGAGACTTCTCTATTAGCCTACCTGTGAGAGGTAACTACAGGACATAATGCCAGACACTTGAAAAGATAGGAGGAAGATAAGAGAAATGGACAACATGCATGATATGAAATAAGAAACATAGAGCGTACAGATGTGGGGGAAAAAAAGGGACAGTTTCTTCAGGGAGTTAATGATGAATTGAATTCTTTTGAGCTATGAACATTGTAATAGAGATATAGCACTCCTTCAGAAAAAGACCTTTGTGTTTATTATGGACCACCACGTCTAGCTGCACCCGAAATAATCTAGGCAGGCCCATAGGATGGTAAAGAAAAAGTAATTTTCTTTTGAATATTGGCTGTTTCAGCATTTCTGCAGAAGATAAATATTCACTGAAGATCAATAGTAAAAGGATGGTGCTTGTCTTTGACTGTCAGTGGTTCGAACTGATTGCATTTTGGTGTTAATTTAAGACTACTTTCCCTTCCACTTGCTTGAAATTGTGGTATTGGTAGCAGAGTTTCTCTGGAACTCACTTTTCAATTTTGGTGAATTTAAAATCAGTGGGACAGAGAAGGAGAGCAGAAGATGCAGTGTGGGAGATGGAGCAGCAGGAAACAGAGTGGAACTCATCCAACGTGTCAAAAGAAATGTGGAACCTCATCTTCTAAAAAGTGAATGCTACTAATCTCAGCTGTATTCCAGCAATATGATGCAGTCATGATGAAGACAAATACAGCCCTGCTGGCCAGACTTGATTGCAAATCTCACAGCTGATCCTAGACCACATGTCTCCACCTGGGCGATTAATGTGTTGGATCCATCAATGCCTATATTTTGGGTATTAGGTTTTAATAGCAGAGGCAGATTTCTACAGTATTTGTAGAATGTCTTGTGTAGTGAGTCCCCAAATTGTTGGGAATAGACCAGTGCAACTGTTAATAAGACAGAAATCCAATAATCCTGTGGCTGTGGTGTGTTCTGCAATAATCTGGGCTCTCATTCTAGCCTTGATGAAATGTTTCCATGCACACAGGCACACATGCATTACTGCTCTTGGGATTATGCAGTCTAAATGTAGCACAGAAGTCACGGTATGTGTGGAAAAAAGAATTTGACATTTCTCCTCTAGACAATGTTCAACTCTCTTACTTTTGGAGACAGTCCAGCTATTAAAGGCCAACATTTCCAAAGCTTCCCCCTGTAGTAGGGGAAAATAAAACAATGCTGGGGATCCCAAAGCAACAAAATCTACTTGCAGAATGTTTCAGATGAGAACATTTTCTTTCAAATCTCTTAAGAAGAGAGATAAGAGAAACAGGGCACTGAGGGTCAGAGTGCCTGCCAAATTCTATTTTTGATGTTAGTCTAAATTCAGTGTTGCTCCCTTAAGCCATGGGTATTTACCTGTTACAGTTCTACAGCAGCACAAGTAGCTCCCCTAGCCTGTTAGTTAAACATCTTTACCCCTTAAGCAATACTATGCACTTGAGTTATGATTTGTCACTTTCTGGCCCTCGTAAAGATGTAGGATTTTGTAATCCATGCAGGTTGCTTCTGTGGATGCCTGCACAGGGGAGCTTTTCCCCATCACTGAACAGAGGTTCCAAGCACCATACATCAGGCAGATTGGCCCCACTCTTCCACCCACCACCAAAAATTGAGCCATGATCTCTCACTTCCAGAGGACTCTGCAAGCAACCAAGGTTCAGAGCTACATTTCCTTCTCTCATATATGGTTGGCTTTAGACTGGTGTATCATTTAACTACAAAAAAAAAAAACAAACACCAAAACCCCCCCCCCCAAAACTCAAAAAACCCAAAAAACAACAACAAAAAAACAAACAACAAAAACCACCAGCAAAACACAACTTACCTTCAGTTTCAGAGCCTTCATTTGCAGTGGTATTTACATTCAAAATAGGCATTTGATGGCACAGCCAGAAGTATAAAGATAACCGTGATTTTCACCATCTTCCACAAAATCTTTGTGACTGGGTTCATGTTCTGCACAGAAATCTCACTCATTTGCTAGATGGATTTTACTCCTTTGCTAAAGAGACAGGAAAAAAAAAAAAAAAAAAAACTAGATGTTGTTTATGTCCTCAAAATGAAGCTGAAATAACATTTGAAGGATGAATGGGTGTTGTGGACAGGGTCTTTCTTTTTCTCATGTCTTTATTGGTGAAATTTCCCACTCTGATCCAGCTCTTTTATTTTTCATTCCTAGTTTTTTCTAACAGAATACACCGGGCCTCTACTAATATACCTGCTTTTTTACATTCGTCTCTCAACTATTTATGATCGAGTGGAAACTACGAAGAACTTCCGCCACCCAGTGGTGCAGTAAGTGACACTCATGTGAATCATGTCCTGGGGACAGAGAGCTGGAGGGATGGGTGGTGGCTGGCTATCTAGGACAGGGGGGGAGGCAGCACTCCTCAGCTAGACTGGTTCCACAGTAGTATTCAGAATTGCAGATCGTTCTCATCAAGCCTGACTAAAAATAGGGTTACAGTTGCGATGGTCACTGCATCTGCTTGCAATGAGAGATGTAGTATTTGCCCCTAAGTGTTTGCACTCTAGATGCACAGCCTGAACAGGAGGTTAAATAATAATCACAGGGTAGTAGACCCAAAGCCACACTTGACAGAGAAGAGAAGACAAGACTTCAGGTGTTCCACCTCTCAGTCTTTTCCCAGTGCCCTCCTACTTGAAGCTGGGTAGTGTCAGCGTAGAGCACAGCTCTCACCCAGGTAAGAATAAGGAGTTTGAAGAGGTTTGCTTGCCAATAGCCAGGTCATGAAGAACTGAGAAACTAAAGAGAAGCATCACTGGAATTCAGAACCATTAATCTGTTTTTTGTAACTAAGCTCTTCAAAGCATAGTTGTTCTTCACGGTCACACAGTACGTCTGTGAGTTCTGAGAGTTTTAAGAAATAAAACATTCAAGTGACAAACACAAGTAAGAGCTCAGCCAGTATTACAGAAGCGTGAAAACTGCATACTGTATCCAGCTGTACAGAAAAAAAAAAAAGAAAAAGAACATAAATACAGGAGCAGAAATCTGGCACCTTTGCTTCTCTCCATCACTGTAATGCTAAAGAGAAACGAAACAGCTCAGGTATGATACAGTAGTTGCTGGCCACAAGGAAATGGGTTGATGGTTGGACTAGATCATCTAGTGGTCTTTCCAATCTTAATGATTCTATGATTCTACCAAATGTGACCTGGTTAATCTGCTAGAATCGAAAAGAAATGAAGAGATGACAGTCAACCAATATAACCTTTGAGGATCTCAGACAGTTCCAAGCATTTTGTAGAACTCTAGAAGAGATCTGCTTGATGAGGGAGATCAAGAACTGCTACAGATGAGAAAGTGGCAAGCAGTAAAGCATGGTAGCTGCCAAGAAGGCTCTAGTGGGAACTCTCACACTAAGGAGTGCAGTTGAGTTTGATTCTCCTCATTCTGGGAGCATTAGTGGAAGGGAGGGTGGAAGGTGGTCAACGAAAACCAAGAGCACTGGAAGAGAAGGGGCACACAGGAAGCCTGAAGAAATAGTGCAGCTTTCCTCTAGTGTTCTTTTTCCATACTGTAATTGCAGGATTGAGGGAGCTGATATACAGCAGAGAAACACACTTGGGTGATGCTGCCATTCAGAGATGGAGAAACAGAGGCTTGGAGAGAAGTTAAGGAACTTAGTGGAGCTGGGAATGAGAATGCAGAATAGCTGAATTCCAAACCAAAGCCTTCCTTCTTTTGCTCATTTACTTAGAAAAGAGAGTTTTCAGTAGCTCAGAACAGATAAATAATTCAACCTTCTTTTAAGTGGGCAGGAGGTATTCAGAATCCTTAAAGTGACTGCTCCTCAATGGGTGCACATTTGAGGTCCACATCTTAAGCCAAATTAATTTTAAAATTCCCAACAAAACTGAAAGCTTGCTCTGGCCTTTGGTTAAGTAGATAATCGTTTGAAATTTTCTTAGCTCAAATCTCTCTGGTTTAATTACTTTGAAATTGTTTAATCTTTGACTTTGGATACCATACAAGATGCATATTAAAAGTATTTGGGATTTCACGTGCAGAAAACCACTTTTCATTTATGTTTTATAATTGGTTTGCACTGAGACAGACTCTGGTAGTACGGTAAATGTAACTAAGATAAAATACCACAAGAAATCACTCTTGACATTTGTTTTTGAAACTCAATCTCTAAGAGCTTCAACTCATTCTCTGAAGCAAATCAGCAGCACCTGATATTGCTTCATAATCTTCCTCAAAAGAGAATCAGTATAATGATTTCTACAACGATTACTTCAGTTCTTTGTAATAGGGAACAAAAAAGTCATCAGAATGGATTAACTTTGCAACAAAATCTCATTTTGTGTCCGTAAGGAAATGAAATACAAACTACCGCCATGCAACTACTCAAGTTGGCAAAGGACAAGGAAACCATTCAGAAGCTATTCAGAATGTTTTTAAATGTCAGACACATCCTGCAGGATCATTAAGGTAGCCTTAAAACATGGGAGACTTCTTTTGGAAAAGCATGGCAGATGTCTGCTTGTATACACAGCTGTCCTGCTTTAATGTCCTGTCAGGGCGATGCATCACATTGAGAGCTGGAGGAGCTCTTGTTAATTCAAGGCTAGTAAAAAGAAGCTGTTCCCGTGCAAAATGAAGGCAACTTTGTATAGCTCTGAAAAATTATTCCATTAATCTCTGATTCCAGATGCTTCAATTAAGACAAAATCTTAAATCTCACGATTTCACTGTTTAAGAATATTAGTCCTTAACGCTTTTTGTCTCATTAAACTGTGAAATAATAAAAATCAATCTTTCATTTACCTTCATTTCCTTTATTTCTTTTTTTTTTTTTTTTCTTCTAGCTTGGCTTGCTTCTGCCATTGTTTGCACTACATCAGACATCTTCTGGAAACGTTATTTGTTCACAAGTTTTCTGGAGGGCACACTCCTCTGAAAAATATGATAAAGGTGACTGTGAATCTCATTTTGTGTAAGAGAGAATATCCTCACATTGAGGCAACCTTGGAAGAAGATAGGAAAATAAAAAATAATTTATTTTCTAGCTCAATAAATAATGATTAGTCAAAATATAAATATAGAAAAAAATCTCAGGGCCATGTCCCCAGGAACATGAACTGAAATCAATGTCCATTTTAGCTACTGCATGACAATGTCCACTTTGATTCATCCACCCAAGGGGCTGGTTGTCACGTCAGGATATTTTTCAGATTGAATGCTATTTTATTATGAGATACAGTGCTGCAACAATGAGCAATGCTGACAGTATCTCACTCCACTTCCTTGGTGCAATATAAATACAGAGTAAGAGACAGCCTTTGCATTAGGAAGTTAAAATGAAGTTACAAATAAATTATAAATATATCCCTTATCCTATAGATGGAAGCTCCAGGAGAGAAGATATCAAGCTGCCTAAAATCTTCTGTCTCCTGAACTGCAGCCATGTGTCATTATCTCATAGGCTCTCCTTCCTTTTATTTCACTTATTCAAAACTCATTTTGCATCACCCCACTTCCGCATGCTGAAAGAGCCTTCCTTGAAAAGTTCTGCAACACATACAGCATTTCAGTGAAGGATATAAACATATGGCCAGGAAAGGCAACTTGACTCAGAAAGATGCTAATAAGATTCCAAACCATGGATGCTGTGGTGCAATACAAAAAAAAAAAAAAAACAACCCACAACATAAAGAGGAATATAAGCTAGAGCACCTACATGGCTTTGGAGCCAGTGCTGCTTCTAAAGAGATTCATGCATGTGGGAATTGAAGACTTACAGTAACTTATTCCCACGTGTCTGTGATTAACATACTTTCTATGAAAGGCATAGAAAAATTAAAAAGAGAAAGCCTGTCCTGCATCCCTTTGGGATGGAGCTGTAGCCAGTCCCAGCTCACTGCTCTCCCTGAGATGGTACAGAGTGTGGACGCACAGAAAAAGCTTTATTCAGTCTCCATGGTTGTCTCAGTGGGCTGCTGAGTTTGGACTAATCCCTTGTAGAAAGGGTTGGAGCAGTGATCCTTAAAAATGACAAGAGCACAGTCAAATTGTCTCTGCTGGGGCCTTCCCAAGCCTTTGGTCACCAGCCACAGTTGGGGTGCTGCTTTTTCACAAGTTGATGTAGCAGAGCCTAATCCATGCTGGTAAATGACGTGTAGCTTAAAGGCACTGCATGCCCTTTTTCAGCAGGGTTAAAATTGGCTTATTTGATTTTGCTCTTTATTATCTCAGCTGGTTTAGTGTTCTGTTTGGCTAGATCTATCTTGCCTGGAAACGCTGAGTTTATGGTATTGTCACAGCTCAACTCTTTTAACCAGCCCTAGGCTTTTAATAGTTCTACTCAGAGAAATACGCCCTTCAGTGCAAGAATCAAATAAGGAGAAGAAAACAAATGTCAGTTCCTACAACAGGGATGAAAAACATTCAGCAGGCACTGAAAAATTTGCACAGTGCATCCTTTTTTTTATTTTTTATTTTTAGTGGCGTTATGTCTTAGAAGATCTGTATTCTGTATATTCTCAAGAAGCAGCTGCAAAGCCTTTCAGTAGTCATCTGGGCTTTGCACCTAGTAGCATTTATAGTTTCAGTTCATACTTGCTTATCACCCTTTCTAACAAAAAAAAAATGTTTTTTGTCCATTCCAGGGCTGTGTCTTTTACTGGGGTTTCACTTCTTGGATTGCATATTACATCAACCATCCCCGATATACGCCACCGTGTATGTATAAGCAGAGCACAAAACTGACCTTGGTTTTAAGAAGTTTTTGGTGGGCAACCTCAAATCCTACAAAATCAGTAGATGTTCTGGCCCCCAGATACTTTCAAAATAGAACATAAATTCTATTTATATATATATATATTATATATATATATCTATAAATTTTAATTTGCTGTGATTCATTAGAAGATATTTGAGTTTGGTGTGTTTTAACAGTAATGCTGCAAACAAGGCTGAATGTTTCCAAGACTTGTTTTTACCTGCTGGTACCATCAGTTCAGTAGATGCAGCTTGAAGCCTGACACCAGGTTTACATCTTTAATGTCTAATTGCTTGCCACCTCTTTAAAACAACACTCATAGGTAAATATGGTCAATGCTGGATCACCACCTCTTTGGCATGTATTAAAAAAAAAAAAAAAAAAAAAAAAGGATTATTTAGGATGCTGGAGATGGTGACCTCTACAGCCATATCCACAGATGGTCATACTGGGGACAGGTAAATAAAGGCAAGGAGAGCTGTGCATTAATCCAGGCTGACAAAGGGCCCATGAAGAACATCTGTTCAGCAGCTACATGCTCAGCTGCTGCTATGTGCTACCTGTTCTGGGGAGGATTTTTATCATATGCCCTTGACAACATGGAGGAGTTGTGTACCAGCCAGAGAAAAAGGGTCCTCAAAAGTAAAGGCTTGAGGAAACTTGTTCAGTGGAGTGAAGGACATGCACATGTTTTGTGGCCCTCAGTCGTGACCAAAGTTTGTAGGAAAATTGTAATCTTGAACACCCTACAGTACTACAGTGGCCTGGGGACATCAGAAAAAAAAAAAAAAGGAGATGGCAAGTGAAGGGCAGGTAAAAATTGCAAAGGCTAAATACGTATGGTGAGACTGTGAAGCAGATAGCAGATACACAGTAAAGCTGTACAACTACTTACTTACTACTGAGCTTTACTTCTAATGGAGATAGAAGGCTGGGTATGGGAAGTCATATGGACTGAACTGCGATGCCCAGCCTGTTTCTTCCACTGACGTTCGCTTTTTTCCTCCCCATATCTTTCCAAGGAATATAACACTACCAACTGCTTTAACAAAGCAATTGAATGTTGGAAGCTGGCAAATATTAGAAAAAGTTAGGTGAAAATTACCTTGAGATCAGTGGTGAAGAGATTGGCATTTCTGGAGTGACTTTACTATTTGCATTGTCTTCATATTGTGTGATAATATCCACTCTTTATGCAGACTCTGTCAGGAAAGACGTATTTCTGCTCCTCAGCACTAGATTAATTTCACCCATAGCAAACCATGTGCATACTGTAAAATTCAATTTATAATTTCATTCTATTTTCTAGCATTTGGCTACAGACAAGTTTCTCTTGCTGCCCTTGCTTTTCTGGTAAGTACAAAGTAAAACTTTTATAAATTATTCTGCAATAGGAAGAACTCATGGTTTAGCAAAATGAAGTAATGCTACTATGCATGTCTATTTATACAGGTCCACTTCTGCAGTCCTGTGTCATTTGACTGGAATTAGTTGTATTAAGGATATTAAGGTTTCTGGACCAGCAAGTCTCCTAGTATTATTTGCCTTAATGTAATGCACGGTATGTGAGAGCAATGAGAAATACGTCAGTGCTATTACTGCTCATAATCATGCAAAACACTAATATTTAGACAGATTGGAACTTGAAGGCTCTAAAACAGAAGAAGCTATCCTAAGCAGATTTAGAAGTAGTAATGCATAACTGAAAAATTTACTCATCCCTCCCAGAATGGGTGAAGCCAAGGAGAGTGCAGGAGATGAAGGATTTTTTGGCAGCATTTGTTTTTCAGCAGTTTTAAGCTTGCCTTTGTGTATAATTAGCTATGATCAGATAAACCCCTTTTCAGGTGTGGCATTTATCTTTTTCAGCAGATCGAAAGGAGATCATAGAACCAGTAGGATTGGATAAGGCCACTAACATCATCTAATCCAACTGTCAGCCCACCACCACTGTGCCCACTATGTCCTTCAGATGAGGGTATTTTCTAGTATTTGGGCAGCTTTCCATTTTAGGTAAAAATGCTGGCTGTGAGCATCTGGGTCTCATGAAAACAGAGTGATGCCATGAGCAGTCAGGGTGGCTTTAGAAGACTGATGTCCTTCTTGGAGGTCTTTGTAAGAAATAATTCACCTGGTTCATTTATGAGAAAACTTTTCTAAGGTGCTCACATTCAATGCAAGTTGAAAGAAACTGCCTCCTGAGAGAATTAAATGCCTGTAAATTAGATGGTGGGGGGGAGGAGTTCAGTATGTTCTTCATGTAAAGATATATAAATAAAATAAAATATAAATAAAATGCACGTAGCTTCACCCACAGATCACTCAGAGTGCAGCACCTGCTGAACCTGATGTTTCAATGAACCTATTGTCCTGAGACAGGCTGAGTAAGAAATTCCCACATGTATATTCTCTTCTGTCCTCTACTGGCACAGAGTTGGAAATAGGCTGAGTATTAACTACTGAGCAAGCATAGGTAACCGAAGCATTCAGCCTCTTTAAAAATCAGCTGCAGATCAATTTACAGAAATAAAACAGCTAGAGGACACAGTAATGCATCTTCTTCCTTCAGGCAAACACTGTTCAGAAATGCATTCAAACAACTCCTTATTAAAATTTGAATGCTTTCCTAAATCAGAACCCTTAAAGATCACAGTTCTGGCAGTACTTATCTGGGGTTTGGCTATGCAGTCCTCAGCTTTTCCTGCCCAAATAAGGTATAGCAAAGATGTGCAAGATGCTCTGAGTTTGCACACCCAAACAGCTGGTGCTGTGCAGCTGAGGCAATAATCCCACACCATAGGGCCAGGTGGCTGTGGTGGGCAGCGGTGTTTCCAAAGCCCTAAAGACTATGCCCTTCCCAAGCTCAGGGATTACTTGAAGCCAACCAAACTGACTATTCAGTGCTACCAGTAAAACTAACTTATAACAAAATCTCTGCTCACAAAAAGCCATTCTTTCCTATTGAAACTTCTATGGAAAAGTGTATGCTCAAGCCTAGAGAAGAGCCTAGTTGAGGGTGTTTGGTATAAAGTAGGGCCATTCCCTTCAGATCTGCACCAGCAACTGTCTGTTGTCTGAATTCTTACAGCTGTTTTGAGAAATTCACAGCCATGGAAACACAAACTTTCCCTTTCAGACCTTGTGCTGGCAGATTCCCCAACAGCTTAAAACACCAATATACACAAGAAAACGATTTGAAGCTGTTTTCACAGGATTCTAATACTTATGAATAAAATGCTTGAAAGATTTATTTTTCCTCTTTTAAGGCCTTTAATACATGTCTTTAGTACATATCCTGATTTAAGTGCATACAACTGCAGCTGCTGTAAACAACAGTACAGAGTAATTGGAAGAGTGTCAGCAGGCCCTTCTGAAAGATTCTCCTATTTGGAGAAATTACTCAAAGCTGGGATGGTTATCTCACAAGGTTGTAAAGATGGGAAATGGCATGTAGACTTCAACAGTTCAACATTATAAAGATGGCAAGGCTTCTTTCAGCAGTTCTCCATTGCCCCACATTTAACATTTCTGAGACACTAAGGACTAGCTGACATTTACCAATTCTTCTTGATATAGAGCATTACCAGCCACCTTTCTCAACAAGGACATAAGAGCTACTTATGAGCAGAATCCAGCTGTAGAGTCAGATAAGAAAAAAGGAATCCCTACAGAAACGCCCTTTGCTTTTTAAACTTTTATTTGACTATGTAATTAGTAAGTGTTAACTGTAGAGCATGAATCTGTTTTGCTCTATAATAACCAGTGGTAGAACCCAAAGGAATGGCACAGAGATGCATTGGGAGGGGATTGGGTTGGGTGTAAGGAAAAGATTCTCCTCCAGAGGGCAGTGGGCATGGCACTGAGCTTCCAGAGCTCAAGAAGCATTTGGACAATGCTCTCACAGGGTCTGATTTTGGGTACTGTGTGGAGCCAGGGGTGGGACATAATGGTCCCTTTGTGTCCTTTCCAACTCAGGATATTCTATGATTCTGTAATGTCAGCGTGAATTCTTTAAACTTTGAAACCTTTTTCTTTGAAGTAATTACAAACAAAAGCAATTATGTTCCCAGCTCATAATCAGAAGTACCTAATGCTGTGGATAGAATTATAACTCCTGATACAATACCTTATCTCAGAATTTCCTTTTCTGCCAGTTTAACATTCTATACCTGGTGTTTATGACAGATGATAGCCAGTTAGCTGTAAATGAAAAAAATGTCACAGAAAAGGACTGCAGGATTTGAGCCATGACTACTTATTCATGCAGAATAACAACTTTGCTAATAGAAGAACTGGTTTAAACTTTCCAAACAAAAAACACAGAAATGTCTCTGCCAAAGGGGGAAGAATTTTCTTAAGCAATGCTATCTACAATTTTCTTTCCGATAAGGGCACCTTTCGATACAAAATGAAATTACATATTCCTTCTAATTAGTCTTAATTGAAGTTTGCTATGGTTAATGTTGTCAGTATTGGCTTTAAAAATGGCAATCATATTTTTCTTTTTTTCTGAAATAATTTTATGTCTTTAAGACTTATGATATCTCTAGGTTTTAGCATTCGTCTTATTTCTTGATTTTTGCTAGTTTTGAAAAGTTTAGAGTGATAAAAAAACCAACTTTGTGACACTGTTTTTTTTTCAGTCTGAGAGGAGAAATCAGTCTTCAAACTCATAACTAGATAAAAATGTCCAGTTCAAGACTGAAATGTAAATCAGCCTTTTGATTTTCTTCATAAAGCAAGGGAAAAAATGAAAAAAAAAAAAAAGTGGGAAGAGGGTAGAGCCAGTAACCCCTGGGAGGAAAGTGAGTTCATTATGTCTTTACAAAATCAACGGTCCTACTTCTTTGCAGGCTGGGTTACATCCAAATATTGAAGATGGTATTAATTTCAGAAAAGTATCCTTCAAAATTCTTTAGGTTTCAGGGAGACCTTCTGACATCCCAAAACTGAGGCATGTTGCATGTGCTGGGCATGGGAACTGCATTGGTCCATGGACTGTCACCACTGGAATGCATAGAATGCATTTCCCATGGGGTGGGTGCAGAAGTCCTTCTGGAGGACACATCTTTGTTGGAAGAAGCCCTGAGCAGCCTGATGTTGTGGTTGGCAAACCTGCCCACAATAGAGGGTTGGAGCTGGATGGGCTTTAAGGTCCCTCCAAACCCAGGCCATTCTACAGTTCTATGATTCTATAGTTCTGGAGGCAAAGACTAAGTGTGGAGTGGAGATTCTGGTTATGCTCTGTAACACAGCCATCATTTTTGGCTGAACTGAAAATATGTTTTTAATGTCTTACAGATGTGTGAAGCTGGAAATCACTTTATCAACGTAGCATTAGCTCACCAAAACCATTCAGGTCTGTTTTATAATTGTCTATTAAAGACTGAAGTGTGCTTAACCTATCCATCTTCTACTGATATCCAGTAATTTATGTATCTACAAGCACAGAATAAAGAAAGATTAAGTAGGTGCCTTGCCATCAGTGCAATGTGTTCAAAATAAATGTGGTGACAAGGAAACATTAACAACACTGTTGTTGTTCCAAAACTTGTAGCTAATTTGTCTTAGTTAAAAAACCTACAATTTAAATATGTATTTAAGCACGGAATTTCTCTAAAGCATCCTGTTAACTGGCAACAGAGACTTTGATTTGAAATCAGTTTCAGAAGCTTAAAAACTATATTGCTGACTTTCTATAGATACAACCATCTCATGCACATACAGATATGTACAAATACATGAAAAGAAACCCACATGTGGGCATCTAAGTGTGCATGTGCAGGCTCTTAAACACTGCTACAAGCATGGGTTTTTCATGATCTTTTGTACCTTGACAATAAAAACCATATATACTGGATATATATAATGCATATACTGGAAAGTAAAATATATTTTCAGATAATAACAGTGTAATTACTCATAACAGCATTCATTTCAAGAAAATACCTCACCATGGTATAGGTCAACTTCATGCAATCAAGTCTAAAGCATTTTAAAAGAACCAAAAGCAAAATATTTTTATTTCATTTTAGCATTCTAAAGGCATTAGTGTCTAAAGGCATTAAAAATAGCGCTGTTGCAAGAATTCAAAAGTGAAACACACCATGTATAAGCATTATTGTTGGTGTAGAGAGCCTTGCTCTTAGTCCTGGAGTTGTTTTCCTGTTCTACTCAAGGATGAAGGATGAGCATGCAAGAGGGGACAAGTTCATGTTCCTGAGTCAGGCTGAATAAGACACAGCCATGTCCTTTATATCCCAGAAGAATGCCCTTAGCCCTCTCCTTCCAGGTACTCCACGTTAAACTACTTGTTTCTCTCTTTCTCTGAATAAAGGTTTTATCCTTTGGACATGCCAAACCTTTCCTGTAAAAACCAGCACATGGTTCACTAAGCAGTGCTCTCACTGGGAAAAATGCAGCTTTTTCTGTCTCAAATGTTTCACACCATTTTCTGACTATAGCTGTATTTTGGAAATGCCAGCCAAAGTGATGCCTGTCACACAGGCAAATTATTAGAAGGCCATGTTCTCCTCCCTGTAATAAAAATATGTTTTTTTTTTTTTTTTTTTTTTCCCCTCTTTTGTAAAGGAAACAAAGCCTGTTTTCCAAGTCCAACCTACAACCCCTTCACGTGGCTCTTCTTGCTGGTATCCTGTCCCAACTATACTTATGAGGTACATAACTTTCTCCTGCCTATTTGCAAAGGGTGAGCTATTATATTGAATAACACCATGTTTCAGCACATCTGCCATTCTCCATCCATTTCCATGTACACCAACCATTCTGTTCTCTGTTTCAGAGTCTCCTTGTTCCCACAAAGGCTTCTCCACCACACCTCTTTCCTCATGCCACTATCATGACTTTGTATATATTCACCTCCACTCCAGACTCCCCACAGATCAAACAGTTAACCACCCACCCCTTTACCCTCATCAAGCCTACTGGCCATCCCTTTCCAGCCATTTTTCCTCTTGCCTGTGGAGTGCAAGTGTCAGGCTCTTTTTCCAGGGGAAGCTCTTAGGGAAGTGGTCACTTCCAAAAGCTTTCACTTTTGCTTTATTTAAACATACAATTAACAATGCCTTTTCCTCTGCAACAGGTTGGGTCTTGGATTAGTTTCACGGTAATGACACAAACCCTGCCAGGTAGGTTTGAAACAGAACAAAGACAGCTTCAAAATTATTTTGCAGAGATGATTTCTGTAAATCTAAAATGCGCCCCAAACTTACATCATGTGAAATATTGCCATCAAATCTCCCTCATGGCATGACTGTATGGACCTTCAAAGTGCTCCCCTCAGAAAGCTGTGGGGAGCATGAGTACTACTGAAACACCCCCATCAGCCTCCCTTGATCAAAACCTGCTCTCTGCTTTTTATGAAGTACTGTTATTTCTTCAGTTTTCACAGTGAAAAACCTTGAAATTTAATAAAAAAAAAGTTGTAATTTCATTTACAGTCAAACATTTTTAATATAGGGAACACACTTTTCACTTAAACCTGAAATGATACTTCTGATAGGGACAGGAAAACAGAAATACTTAGTAGTTCCAATGAGTAAAGATGCACACAAGTGGCTTACAACATTTCCCCATTTGTTCATATCAAACAACCAGCTCATAACAACAACCTGATTAGCAGCGTCTGCAAATCTTTCTCAGTATTTTCCTGCATCCTTAGAGACCTAAATACCTATACAAATATGGTCCCTGGGACTGAGCTTTCCAGAACATTCACTATTTAATTCTCTCTCCATTTCAAAATAGAAACCAATAAAAGTTACTCGCAGAAGTAGCCCCACTTTGCTTACAAGTGAAAAAAAAAGGAATTTCAGAAACAGATTAAATTCTACTCTGACAAAATCAAGATATAATGAAGTTTTGTTTGAAAAGATAAAAATATTTGTGCTGCAGGTCCAGGCATGGAAATGATCTGAAAATATAGGGATGCTGCAAGGCTGCAGGGGCAGAAAGCAGCCAAGTGCAGAAGAAACTGCAGACTGTTTTGTAAACCCTCATATACTCACTGAAGCAAACACTAAAAGAAAACACGTGATCCTTTCTTTTTTCTTTTTCTTTTAACTCATTAGTCGGCATTTTTGCTTTCCTGATGGTCATCCAGATGTCTCTCTGGGCCCAAAAGAAACACAAGCTGTACCTGAAGAAATTTTATCCAGAAGTGCGCAGAAAAGCAGCTATGATTCCTATCGTCTTCTGAGCTCTTGGTAAAAGCTGAAGCCTAAGTGTGCACAGTTCAATAGCTAACTCAGAGTAAATGAGCCGTTTAATTCACCAACTGAAGTGGGTCTGAGGAAGCACTACTGGATATCTTTTTCAGAAAATTAACAGATCAAAAAGCTTTTAATTAAGTGGAAAAAAAACAAAAACAAAACCAACAAAAACAAACCAAACCGCTCTTCAATTCTTGATTCCTGCTAAAAGATATTTAATTAGATTTTCTACATGGAGCTAATTGGGAAAGGATGAGGAATTTTTTTATATTCGATTTTAGGCTAGTATTTATCTGGTTTAAATGGGCACGGATGCTGTTAATATTAATGAAATACATACACTTAATCTGCATGTGTTCAGCTCCGGTGATTTTAAGGTTTGGTGTTAGGTGTTGACCAGATTCTCTGATTTTTGCGTCAGAAGTTGTTCCCCTGCCTCATTTCTATTAAATTGCACAGAAACAGCCTGTTCTGCCTTAACTCCTCTAAAGCATCACAACAAAGAATGACTGCTATACTACTAAAACAGTTTAGTTTTACAAAGCTTTTCCTTCTTTCTTTTTTTAATTGAATCCAAGAGCAAGTTGTTCAATGCAAATTGGTTTCAAATGATCACTGCAAAGAAGTCTGGTCCTCTTTCATTTTCAGGCAGGCAGATCAGCCCCATAATCTCAGGGAGGGGACAGTTTGTGAGGTGCTACCAGAATGACTCAAGGTACAAGAAGCACAGTTAGCTTAGCCCAAATAAGCACCTCCAGGATCTGTTTACCTCCCTGCATTATTTGATGATCATTCAGCATGTGAGGATGGGAGAGATGGGTGTCAGCACCTGTAGCAAATGGCTGAAGTTTTAAAATCAGGTAAAGAGCAAAGACTAGGTATAAACAAATGATGATACAGTATAGCAGACTGAAAAAAAAAGCGTGGCTGATACTTTGGGATGTGGTCTTGAATTGCTAAAACTACTCTAAATTGTGTCAAGCTGCTTCATGAATAGCAATAAATCCAACTTTCTGCACATTCATGGATCTTTCTGTGTTACTCTGCCTGCTGGGATTTTCAGGGAAAGTTCTGATCACAGATAACTTATCTTTCTACATTCACCAGTAATCTCAGCCACAAACATCATTCACCTTCTGAACCAAAACCATTGTCCCCACACAAACGTTTTCTTGAGAAAATTTGTCTAGACTGCTAATTACCTGGGGAAAAAAAGATTCCTTCTCGAGCTCTAAATATGCTGATATTTCTTGTACTATGGGAGGAAATAAATGGTTAACTGCAAATACTTTTGGCAGTATTTTCTATTCAGTGCAGACCTAACTTTCTCAGTTAGATTTCCTCCTACATCAGTAAAAGATAGGCATGGGCAAGGCCACATGTCTATCAAAACACCATCGTCTTTCAAGGTCAAAGGGAAGGAGCCGGCATTCAATATGACCCATCACGTCATATTGACCCAGTTACCCCTCACTTTGACAACTTTATATGAAGTTACTTTACAGGCATTGCTTAGGATGTCACCATCTCAGCACGCTGCATGCACTGGTATACATTGGAAAATCATAATTTTGCAATCTTGCCTCTCTGTGGGGCCCTGAAGTTTACTAGTTGCAACAAAAATCCAATCTTTTCTTTTTGAGGTAGGTCCCTGATTCCGTTATCCTCAGCTTTTGCACCTGGAAAGTTGTTGGACTGCATGGCAGTGAACCTCATCTTTCCCCATGTCTAATTCCAAGAACTACAAATGAGGTAGCCTAAAGTTGGGCCTTCATTTTCACATGCTTTTTTTCATGCTTTTGTGGCCCGCTTTTGGTATGAAAAACCAGTGTGGAAAAGAGCAGCACCAGCTCAGGCTCTGCGGTGGTGCAAGGAAACCCTGTGAAGGGGAAGTGATGTGGCAGATGCTCTTGTACACAGCCTGGCAGCCTGCATGTGGATGCCCCATTTGAAAAAGCTCTTAAGACCCAGCCATATGCTTGTCTTATAAGGCAGTTACCACATCTTCTCAGTTCACAGGAATGAAAATTATCTCAGTGATTTCATCATTCCATAGGACACTGAAAGCAGAAGTGAATAGGCAGATGGTCATCCTTTTATAAAGATGCTATTATCATCAAAAAATCTTGTGCTTTCCATTGTTTTGTATAAAGTGACTTTAAATTGGCTTTTATCACACTAGGAACTGAGATCAAGCAGTCTGATTGCAAAGTAGTTCTCTGAAAGAGAGCCTGCAGTGATAGCTAAGTATAATAAAATAAAAGTCACTGAATGTGAAGACTTCTAAAGCACACTATAAGAGGGAGAATGCTATAGGAAAGCAAGAGATTATTTATCTATTTATAGTTTTAACAAGTGCTGCTGAACTAAAAATTAACTCAAACCATAAAGTGTTTTTCAGCAAGCTAGTATTTTCCACATGATGCTTTATTGGCTTCCCTTCTCTGCATTTTCCCAGGCACAAGTTCTGTCTCCAAGCTATATTCCCTGCCATTAGCATTCATGAAAGCTTTTAGAGAAATGTACTGTATGCTACTTTCAGCATTCTGCAGATAAATGTAAATGAAGTGGTGCGTTGTCATCATACAGAGATGAGTGTCAACATGAATAATATTTTACTATGAAAAGCCTGGTTTATCATGGGTGAGTGTGTAAAGGCTGCTGTGTAGTACAATTAAAGGCAATTCTCACATCACAGAGGCTGAGCATCGTGGAAGATTTATTGTAATGGTCTCTGCACACGTGATGTTCAGCCTTGTGGGTCTCAAACATGCAAGTTTTTTGGCTCTTATTGATCCAAGAGCAAAACTGCCCTGGGCCTTGATAAAGGTGCTGGAGGTTGGTTATTTATTTGCCAAGCACATCAGAGACTGGATCTCATCCTGTCTGTGCTGTGTTTCTGAGAAAACATTTCCTTGCCCATCTAGACAAGAAGTTGCCCTGGTGAGGAGCATCAGTCACCATGTGAGTGAAATAATCTGCACTGAATTCCCTTGCAATTTAAAAGTAAAACCCAAATGCCCTTTGTCAATTGAAAAGACAAGTTAATGGGTTCTGAAGAATGCACATTCGAGTTTTAAAATTTACCATATATTAATACCTCCTCAATACCTTGACTTCTAACATGTATCTGCTTTTATCTAACTTCTGAAGCCTTTTAAGATTGAGGTACGAAGTAACAGGAAATCATTTGTAGTTAAAAGAAATATGATAAAAGTATTCAGTATTAATAGCGAACTCCTTATTTAAAAAAGTAAATTTCACATCTTTTGTCAAAGAATTCTGATTGTTAGCCAGCTTTCTCCTAACAGTGAAAAAGTAATATAGGTCTACCAGTGATCCCTTTGGTTCACACTGCTGTTTTGAATGCTCTGCCATATTCGGTAAAGAAGGCTTCTGTTTTAAAATTAAAGCTCTTACTATATGGGTACTCTTAAAGCACTATAGGATGGGCTCCAATGAAAACTGACCACATCAAGCATTCTTTTGCTCTTTCTTATACTGAAAAGTTGATGCGTTTTCAGTTGACTGGTGAAACACCATGAAACTGAATCACAACACATTCTTTAAAAAGTGTCCCCAGGAGAAGAAGAGGGAAAAAAATTATGTATTTATTTATTTATTTGTCTAGGACATAATATGAAGTCATTCCTAGGTTCAAGGGCATACTTGCAGAGGGAAACATTGATTAGAGAGCTGGAAGAACCAGAATGTGGCTAGAGTGTGTTTTTATGGATTAGCAGATATGTCTTTTTGGAAAGAAATTTCACTCTTTCTGACAACAGAGCTTGACAGAAATGGATTAAAGATGACACATCTCCAATATTGCATCTAATGAAAAACAAAGTACCTATTCTTAAATGAACGGAGGATATTTGTCACATATGAACACTGTACTCTTCCACCCTCAGTTTTGCATCATCTCTCTGCAGAACGTGCTCTGCATTTGGACTTGTACAGATTTTGTTCTCATTCTTACTACTAATTTATTGCAGCTTTGGATATGCAGTAATGTTACAGGAAAACCAACTGTTGATTTCAAAGCAGTGAAGACAAAAAAATTGTTACCTATTTCAGTCCCACACTGATTGTGGGAATGTGATTATATTGCTGCCATTTTAGATATCCTCCCTGTAGCGACATGAAGCATCATGCTGTGTTTATAGGCTTGTCAAATCTTAATTCAGTTGCAAAGAACAGAACATGAAACAGTGGATTCCAATCCTTGGGACTACCTGAGCTCTGACTTTCAAATGACACTCCTAACACATTTTATTTGCAGTTACTGAGGAATTTCTGTCTGCAAAACAAAAGAACAATTCTTCCAGGTTTAACCAAGCAGGTTTGAAACACTGTCTTACTATTAAGCCATAAATCTGTTCCCATAGAAGCTGGAATGTGCTCTCACATACATGTTTGACATGTTCTCTTATGTAGAGCGCCCCAGGAGGCAGGAGGGGAAGATACTGCAATAATATGGATACAAAGACAAAGCAAATGGGGCTGTAGTGACCTATGAGCTGCAGTATCACCAGGCTCTCAGTGCTTCGGACATCTGTCCCAATAGATCATACTGCAGGTACAATAAAAATTTACTACAATCTAATAAAGGCAATGCTGATCCTGCTTATACATCTGAAATTACTTTTGAAGATGTAAGTACCTTAAGAACACTTAAACAGGTAATCTATTTTGATCACATGCAAATATTTGCTGGAAACTGTCTCTCAAACTTTCTTGCACTTCATTGGGAAATATCATTTTTTCCCCAGTAATTCTCACACACTGAGCTCACCAAGTTCCACAAGTTACACAGAGAATTACTAATGGTGACTAAACAAAAGCATGCTGTATTATTATTTGCAGTTGTTCATCTTAATCTGTTCAGCGTAGTGGCATGGCTACAAGATGAAATACACGGGTTAAAAAGTGTCGCAAGTGCCAAAAAGAAGGAGCAAAAGAAATATATTCTGCCCTTGCAGAGATG